GCGAAACATCGCCACATCTCGGAAGACGGTATTATTGTACGGGCGATCTCCAGCGCCGCCCTGATTTGCCTTAACTCGTCAAACCCCACGCAAATCACCGGTCTGATGCGGAAAGCTACGGTCGTGCGAATCGCCCCACACCTCCTCGGTTTGAGGTGGACGAAATCCACTGAACCTACCGTAAACAAAAAATAATAAGCTGAATGGTGCCTTTGGATTCAGAAGTATTAAGTATGGCACAAATAGAACAATTCTTGAACTAAACGTAGTATTTTTAGTCTCCTAACCTGCTGTTTTTAGCTTCAAAAAGTTATTTCTTTGGAGGTCTCGATTTTTTGGAAAGTCATGAAACACGCAACTGCGGCAAAAACATGAAAGCTTTTGAAATTCCTGCGAATTGAAACTTGATCTCTAATAAACATTACCTATGCAACATAACCAAGTTCAATTTGCCTTGAAAAATCAGCTTTCGGAATTTTCGGAAAGAAATTTTACCGTGCCAGACGTAATTAAAATTCCGCAGTGTTTCTTAGATAAATAATTATGTAGGACTTGATAAACGTGCTCATGTAATCTAGAATGGGTCAGTGTAGCCGAAGACTTGCTCTACGTAACACTTATCACCGCTTTTTGAAAATAGCAGGAGAAAAATTGTCAAAATTCATGAACGACGTGGCGTTACTGTTGAGCTGCTCAAAAAGCCATGGCGAGAGAAAAAGGAGATTTGACATAAGGAAAGACCCGACCGAGGAGCAAACACTTCAACAAATTCTGTTCTCTTCAATCTTATGTCATCTGTTGGTTTTTTTTATCAAAACGCAGTTTCTTGAGCATGATTTTTCAGATGGCACTTTGCTAAATCGTAAATGAGATTCGGGAAATCGAATATAGAAAGTATTTAAATCTATATTTACCATTATTCACATAGAAGAGTCAGTCCAAAAAATCTTGAAAAGGGAAAAAACTTAAAAACTCTATAAGGCCCGTATGCACGTACATCCCCGCGGGGAGGGGATGTGCGCTTAACCATTGAAATGATCCCCGCTGAGGATCCCCTCCCCTCCCCGCGCGAACCCCCGTATGCACAACAACCAATATCGTACAAGGGATCCCCTGTGGGGAGGGGAAGTGAACCCTCTTATGCACAAGAGGGGATCAAGCGCGGAAATCACCTTGCTTTCAAATTTTCTATGAAAAACTCTTTCTTATTTCATTTTTGACTGCAACTCATCTTCATCTCCTCATTTTAATTAATTTAGGGTTGCGGAATGTGCGTATGCAGTGACTGCGCTCGGGGCGCTAAAAATGATTTTTTCTACTCCCATTATGTTCCTGCTTTCTTGGATGCTGCCCACTTTCGTTCATGCTGCTCCATTTCAGCGTAAAAATGTTGAACTATAGAAGTTGATGTGTCTCTGCAAGGGAATGGGTAGAAGACGTTATGCTGTCGAAAAGGGGGGGGGGTGCCGCGCAGACGCTCAAAGCAGTATTCTAACACATAACAGAAGCTGCAAATTGTGCCAGCTCTCCATAAACGCTGTAACTATCAGCTGCATATCGTCCTTTATCCCAGGGGAATGATCCCCAGCAGCCATCCCTGCTATGCACAAGGGGAACGCTGGGGAGGGGATCACTCCCCAGGGGATTTCTACTCAGAAATAGGCAAATATGCTACTTTCTAGATTTTTTCGAGGCAGCTTATGTTAAAAAAACAAGATAATGGCAACATGTCATGAAATATGAAAGTTACAGTGTGTTTACTCAGCCTATATAGTTAAAACTATTATGTTATATGAAAAATGCGCAAATTTCCTGAATGATCAAGAACTCCTACAAATAATCGAAATTGGCAGCTATTGTTGCTCGGATTTCTTTTCAAGAGGCGAATGTAGAAAAGAAAGACAAATTGCAAGCCACACGTCGCTGAGAGAAGAACCCGGCTTTCAAAGAAAATCCTCCATCAAAATGAACGAAATGCTTGGTAATGACTGAGCAGAACCAGAATATCCGCGTCTCTGGCATGATCTACACCATCGAACCCCTACTTCTTTGCAGGGGATGTCGATCCCCTCCCCCGCGTTATTGAGTTGAATTCGCGCATACGGGGTTCGAGTGGGGGAAGGGAAGGGATCCCCTCCCCCATTCGAACCCCGTATGCACTGAGGTTCGCTCGATCAATACCTCTGAAATCATTCACACCATCCCCGCTTAGGTGCAGGGAAGGGGATCGCTCCCCTCCCCTCTGTCATGGCGGGGTTCGGCGGAGGGGATCGTTCTCCTGGGGATCCAGTTCCCCTCCCCTCCCCAGCCGGGACGTACGTGCATACGGGCCTAAATGAGAAAGCGTGCCATTAACAAATCATGCTTTTTGGACGCCTATTGCATTATCGTGATACATTTATTTTTTTTTCTCTTCGAAGGTTACGGATTAACCATTTGTTGTAAACCGATTCACACCTATCTGGATGGCTAAAGCTTACATAGAATTGAGCAGATTGGATGCAGATCATCTATGGATCAAAGTCTTGAACTGATTTCTAGAAAAGCACCTCAGCATGAATTCGGATTTACATGATAAGATGATGGATATGCTGTAGACTTCTGGAATGAAATTTTCGCAGGTCAGTTCTGTACTTGTCATCTCTCATCAAGCCGGATGCCTCATCTTCTATCTCCTTTAAGCAAAATTTGACTACTGTCTTGCATGGTAAGTGCTGAAGTGCTTTTCGTCTATTTATCATATTACACGCGACAAGATGATCTGAAAAAATTTTTTTTGCAAATGGAAACTGTCTGCAAACTAAATGCATAGGCTAATTACGATTTCAAGCAATGAAAGTATCATGATCTGTTTTAGGTGAACAGCATGAAAACTTAATAGGATATCGTATCAACTTTTGATTGACTAAAGTGAGCACATGGCAGCATCTTATATACAGGGTGTCCCAAAAAAATGTGAACACTGTTTGATTGTTAATAACTCTATTGCTTTCATTTCTTTTGCCGCGCTTGAAGCATCATTCTATAGAGTGAGGTTCAACTTAGATCTACAGTATGGAGCGAATCGTCGATCGCTCTTCATTACTGTAGGATTACGGTAGGAACTTCGACAAGGATTTTAGGCCATTGGAAGCCATTTTATGCCTCTGAACAAAGCCAAACAAGCTAAAAACTCTTATACTATGATAATGGAAGCCGCTGATTTCGAATATGAAGTTCTCACTTTGCTGTGATGCTTCTTTCCAAAGTTATCCCAGGTAAATTGTAATAACTGAATTCCCAGCACTTGTCAGAAAGGTGATTACACCGTCAAGAAAGCTAAAAACACTCGTAAAAAGTTGTGTAATGGAATCAGCGTGTGCGAAAACTTTAGTACACAATTTCTCAGATTTTTTGAAAAAAAATTTGTCAAATGGCATATTTCACATTAGATCCACATGCTAGAAGTTCATACCGTAATTCTACAGTAACGAACACCGAACGGTGATTCGCTCCATACTACAAATCTAAGTTGAACCTCGCTCTACAGAATGGTGGCTCAAGCTTGGCGAAAGACATGAAAGCAAAGGAGTTATTAACGATCAAACAGTGTTCACATTTTTTGGGACACCCTGTATAAAGCTGAATGTCTGTTTGTCTACATGTCTGTATGTCTGTCTGTCTGTACGTATGTTCCGAATAGAAAATTCTATTTCTGAACCGATCCGGACCAAACTTGACACATACACTTCGGGCCCCGGCGGGTGTCATAGGCTACTATTCGTCATTGATCGATATCGATTTTATAGATTTTTATCGATTTTTTGCAGAGTCAACCTACGGGGCTGGGAGTTGGCACAGGGGGGTAATCGAGCATGGGAATTCCGAATACAATATTAGTTTTCAGGAATATCGATCACTTCTATCGATTTCATCGATTGTTTTGCAAAGTTTGAGCTACGGGGCTGGGAGTTTGCACAGGGGGTAGTTGAGCATGCTGATTTCGAAAACAACACAGGGAACGGGAAATGAAGTGTAGAAGTGGGTACAGGGAAAGGCTGTACAGGGATAGGGATGGGAGCTTTATTACAGTGTTTTGAGAAGGCCGAGCGGAGCCGGGTAAGCAAGCTAGTGTATTACATTAAGCTTAAGGGAAAGTTCCCGGGCATCTGCGAAATTTTTTCCAAACTACTGTAACTTCAAGCAGTTTGCTCCTTTTTGGGAGCTGCATACTTTGTTGCAAAAAGTACTTTGTCTACAGCTGTAGACAATTTGAGGGAACTTCCCGAAGGCTTCAGCGGAGTCTCCGGAGGATCACCTGGGGAAGTACCGCTATCGTCCTCGGGAAGTTCCCTCAAAGGTTTTGGGAACTTCCCATCTTTTGGCTTTAGCAGGATTTTTTTACTCGCCTAGACCATCGTAAGAATATTTCCTGCTCATTTTTTTGGATGCTTCCATCGTATACATTGTTACACTCACGAGATTTGAAAAGAATTATTTATTTATTTATTTATCGTGTCAATACATTCGCTTAGAAACATTGCGATGATAATAGAAAAGAAATGTCAAAAATGTGCTACAGAGATCAGATCAGCGGGAATTTGTGAAAGCAACGACTGAACGTTGATAGTGACCTTGATACAAGAGGCATAACAGAAGAAAACCAAAAGTAGAAAAAGGAAAGAACAAATATAGGAGATGGCTGATGTAATATCCGTATTAAAAATGAGGTAATGGTAGCAGTATTGATGGGCAGGACACTCGCCGATAGACTGGTTATACGTCCCTCATGTGCAGTGCTATTCTTCTCCATTCCTGTTTCGACATTCGCGCTTTATCTTCTCTTCCGAATCCCTTCTGCACGGAGTTGCACTTCTAAAAGAAAAAATAAATTCATGGTTTAAAAATCTAAGTCTATACCTTTGCAGGGGTCAGTTTTCCTTCATGAAGACGACAGTATCTTATGTCTTCGCTGCAAAATTCAGCTTTAGTGGAGAAAACAGTCAAAACCGTAGAAAAGCTTACAGCGCTTCCGAGATGCAGATTCCAATTTGACTACTCCAGTAGGACTTCTTCTCAAGAAGGATGTTGAATTTTTTGTCCCGCTCCTCGTCACTTTCGCCTAACGATAACCAAAAGCTGAAATGCTATTCATCAGAGAAATTGAGAACCCCAACGAAAAAAGAATCACTCATTGAGAATCCCAACGCACCTATCGCGAGAATTTCTCAAAGCATCGAGTCTGTATCCTTGCAGATCATAGTGCCCTAAATCCAGTGCATCCAGCGCAAAGTCTGAAAAATTTGTTTTTCATAAGGAATCATACATAACCACTTGTACCTGTAAGTGTTATAGTGAGGGATTCCGGCAGGTCGATCAAATCTTGCTTGCGTGAAATGTTGGAGGTGCGATACGCATAATTCCATATGTCGGATGGATCCGGCGCGCAAATCTTCAAGAAGCTTTTGCTAACAACAAGCGCATTTTCTAGTTCAAGAAATTAGCCTCTACCTCAGTCTTCAAGCTTTTATTCTGAAAATTGCTCACTGATTTCATCTAAAAAATAATTGCAAAATAATCTTAGAACGAATTCGGATTTCTCCTTACGATATGAACGTTACCGGGCGAAAGTTAATTGCATTAATTTTTTGCGACTTTTGAGAAAACAGCAGCGACAGGTATATGAACAGAATTTATAGGCTCAAAATTCATCTTGCTTTTTTTCTTTTTACTCTATGCGATTGCACAGAATTAAAAAGACATACTTTTGTGATGAACAAGAGAGAATTTCAGATTTATAGCATTGGTTGAAAAAACGATAACAGTTCAAAAAGGGCTGAAAACGGCCAGAACTTTGGTAACAACTCAGCATATCCTATAGCATGTCAAGAGCATGTCATTAGTTATGTATTTATATCACCACACCTGTTTGAATACTGTGCGTATGAACTCCGTGATGACAAGGCATGTTTTGTGTTTCACTCTGTTTGTCGGGGCGTATGCCCTTAGAATATCGTTCAGGACTGCTTCCTATGATGAGCGTATATTGTGGTCACTCAGTTAATTCTTGGTTCTAGATACCTTAAATGGAGAACCATATTTGATCACGTGATGTCCTTTCAGATTTTCGTAGCCAAAAATTGTTCCCGATGTTTCGTGAGTCATTGCGCTTGCACATCTGCTTGAGGGAGTTTACTTGCCCCTCAAGCTCTTTGATCTTTGCCAAGAGCAAATTCTCTTGGAAAGTGCCGCAATAGTAATTGGTCACAAAAAAGATGTAAGATTAGAAAGGTGTTTGTTCTCCATGTTATTCGTTTGGGTTATGCCCAGGGTAAAGCGGGGGGTGCGGCACGCCGCAGGGGGGGCGGGGGTCGTAAGGGGGGGGGGGGGGGTAGGTAGGGGGGGTCGTATCGACCCAAGGTCAAAAGCACTTGTACAAGCTGTGTGACTAAACTGACTTGATGAAAGCGCTGTTGAAATCCTGCAAAATTCAAGTTCAACGACACAAACTTGCAGATACCGTATGCCTACCGTAACCTACCGTACCTCTAATCAAGCATAATTGTCGTAATCCGCGTGGAGAATAACCCCTATGCGCCAAGTTTCAGCGAACTCTGAGGTCTCCGAGCAGTAAACAACCTTGTATAAAGCAGTAATTTAAAACATGATTAACTTCATCTTAACGGTGAGTAAGCTACCTCTTCTTGCACTCAATACAAAGCACTACTCCTTCTTTGTCCACCTCAGGAATCCCGCTTCAGAAGACCTTCAAACTATTGAATTAGAAGCCAACCAAAATCGCTTTTAGCTTTTGATCGCAGTGCTTTCACCAAATATTACTCAGAGCTAAGAAGACGAATCAGGCTCAAAACATCCCTATGGAATCTATGAGGTTTAGGCTATTGATTCATATAAATATTGTCCGCTAAAAATGTTTTTTTGATATAGTTAATGGCCTGCGGCACCCCCCCCCCCCCCTCAAAACCTGCGGCTGCCGCAGGTTTTGAGGGGGGGGGGGGGTGCCGCAGGCCATTAACTTACCTTCAAATCCTTCAAACAGCTGCCTTTTTCATATCATCCTATAGATTCATCCTTCCTCTCTCCGTAGTAGCTGTTTCCCCTCGAACCTTTTTCTTTAGAAGGAAATACATATGGTTTTTGCGAACCATATGCTGGGAAGTGTGGCCAAAAAATATTGGGTTACGGTAGCGCTCGAAAGATTGTCAAAACACACAGAGGCGCGAGATACGCGCCTTTGAATCCCACTCTCGTTATAGCTGTGATGTTCTCGCTTTTTTGTTCTTTTTCATCACTTGTTTCTCTCATTGTTCTTTCAGAAAACTTGTAGATGAACTGCAGATGAACAGAAAACTTCAAACTGATACTTGCAGATGTTTGGACGTTGATGTTTGGTTTGGGTGGTATGTTTGGCGGCTTTGGACAAAGTACAGCAAGGATAATCAACAAAGAGGATATAAAGGTTTGCGTGGAAATTCTTTGGATAATACATTAAGTCTTTCTGTTTGAGGTCGCCTTCAAAGATGTTGCTGGTTGTGAAGAGACCAAGATAGAAATCATGGAGTTTGTAAATTTTTTGAAAAATCCTCAGCAGTACAAAGACCTTAACGCAAAAATTCCCAAAGTAAGTTGTTATTTTTCTTACTTCTCCCCCTTGAATTGAATTTTATTTTCTCAGGGTGCAATATTGAGTGGTCCGCGTACCGGTAGAACTCTGCTTGCGAAAGCAACTGCCGGTGAAGCTAATGTGCCATTCATCACTGTGTCCGGCTCTGAGTTCCTTGAAGTTAGTTATCAGAGCTCTTACATCCTTGAAATGATCTGAAAGATGATTTAAAGATGTTTGTTGGTGTTGGTCCAGCTCGAGTTCGTGATATGTTCGCAATGGCAAGAAAAAACAGCCCATGCATCCTTTTTATTGACGATATTGATGCTGTTGGTCGTAAGAGGGGTGGCAAAGGTGGAATGGGAGGGCATTCTGAACAGGAAAACACGCTGAACCAACTGCTTGTAGAAATGGATGGTCAGCACTTCCATACTTCAATTACCTCTGAAATTGCAGACTTGTGATTTAGGTTTTTCTACCGAAGAGTCGTCTGTGATAGTGATAGCCGCTACGAATAGAGTAGATATCTTGGACCCCGCTCTCTTATGACCCGGACGTTTCGACAGGCAGATTTACGTACCAGTTCCGGATATCAAGGTGCGTCCTAGCTTTTGTTCTCTTCCGATTTTGTGTGAAACTTACATGGTCGATTCTTTCAATGTTGCTTTTCTCGCTGTATTGTATATGTATTTTCTAAACTTTTGATTGATTCAGTGGCATTACTTTTGCTTAGATGTTGCGGAAAACAAACAAAGGGTCAGATTTGAGACGGAAAACTGCTCCCGAATTTCTTTCTTCCTTTGAAACTGTCCATTTTGCTAGTGCAATAGCAATCAAAATCTTCACCAAGTTTTTAGGGCCGTGCTTCATTATTCCGAGTTCATTCGGCTCCTTTAAAAACATCGTTGGAATAAGTTCAAACTGTCACGGAAGCTTGCTGCGCACACTCCTGGATTTTCGGGTAATTTGCTATCACTTTTGCTTTAAGCTTTCGTTTTTTTTTCGTTTTTTTAAGCTCAAGGGTGGGGAGAGGGGGTGGGGTAGGGAATGGGGGGGGGGGGGTCGTGCCGGGGTGCGGCCCAGGGGGGGTCGTATCCGACGGTCGCGTGCCGCACCCCCCGCTTTACCCTGGTTATGCCACAATAATTTAGGTTATCTTATTTACAAATTGCACTCGCCTGGATTCGGGTGCTAAGCGCGTTCTCTACTACCAGTCGTGTAGTTTCGATAACGTCATACAGTGTCCCAAGACGGGACCTTTCGGCACTTTGCACCAATTTGTAGATGTCTTCCAGATCAAAGCGTTGAATTTGCCGCGTGCAGTGGTGCAGCGTTTCCTAAAGGGTTTTCGTCGCCTACCCCAACAAGAAGAAGAAATACCTGTAGTGCAGTTTGTGGTAGAGAGGCTCCCCTGGCTAGCATCGCATAAAGGGAAGAGGTAAATTCAAATGTTCCGATTTCGCGCGATAGACATGTGCGCACAGCATCTGAAAAAAATACAAACGTTTATGCTTTGAAAGCGCAACGTCAAACCTAATGCATCCGATGGCAAAGTACGTGCATCCGATGGCAAAGTACGCGTATAATGCAGTTGAAGCAAAGGAGCAGCTTCAGTTGAACAAAACCGGAATAATTATGCAGAGCCACAAGGCGTCAATGGCAATGAAAGTGGAGGGGTTGTAGAGCATAGATATATGAGAAAACCCTGGGAAAAAACGCGAGAAAAATAAAGCGAAATCAAGGTTCCGTTGGAAAAAGGATGAGAAACGGAGAGCGCACTACTCGTACAACCCTCGTGGGTCAAGGGGGATCGCGAATGTACTTGAAGCGATTGCGAGTGATCGATCATTAGCCATGTTGGCAACGTCGGCAGCAACATGTTTGCAACATGCCGCAACATGTTGGCAGAACATTCTGGCCACGCCAACATGTTGCTGCATGTTGCAAACATGTTGTTGCCACGTTGTCAACATGTTAGTCACATGTGACAAGTCTAAGACGCAGAGATCTCGGTCGAGATCGAGATCGAGACGAGATCGCTCTTTGGATTATTGCGGTTTTCTTTTTAAACCGTGGAGGTAATCCATAACTGACCTCCAAAATTACCGCTCCTATAACTCTGATCGCACTACACAGCGCCCCGTTAACTATGCAGAAATTAAGTAAGGCTTTGAAAATCAAGTAAGGCCTTGAGATGGATAACATCCATGACATCCAAGCACAACTTTTTGTTAGAACACAGTTATATGCCATAGATTGTCATTCGTGATGAACACACGTTATAAATTATTGATAGAAATGCTTGAATTGACCGAAAATCTTTTCAAAAATGCAAAACATAGTGGCTACTCAGAAATCACATCTTTTACTATGAACATGCAGTGCATACGAAAAGTCCTATGTACTGAATCACAGTTTTGAGAGAAAGGAAGACGAAAAATTTGCTTAGGGCATTTATTTGATAACAAGAGAAACTATGGAGCAAATTCTAAAGAAGATGTGCATGAAATCCATGCAAGCAAAAAATTGGCTTGCTAACGATAAATTCTGTAAGCAGCATAGAAAGCATACGTTGGTTTCCTTCTGAATATTGAGTCGGTCTGAAGGTTCGTGTCGCTTTTCGGACATATGTTCAAATCGCTCAGAGTAAAGAAAGGCAAGCGCTTTGAACCATGGGAGGCGTGCAAGTGGTACCCAGGCAGCCGACTGCTGACGCAGCCAGCCGCCAGGACTGGCGTATGGTAGGATAATTACGCTAGCCGTCTGAAACCCTCCGCGGAGAGATTTCCTCGCACCTCGTCGCGCTGAGGTGCGATATCAGCCTCTGGGATAGCGCGATATTATCAGTAATGTTAACAAATCTATTCATTTTAATCCGCAAATTCTTATTTATTGATAGGATGGAAATGAACAAATTTACATAGAGTAAAGTTTTCCTAAAGGAAAATGGTCCAAAAACTCAATCTCTTGAAATGACCAGAAGGTGAAATAATTCAAAATTTAGAAAGTGTTTAGTTATAAAAAAATTTGTTTTTTAAAATTCAAGACCGGAGGAGAACGGACGGTCCAAAATGAGAATAAAGGTTTGTTCAAATAAGGACTTACAGAGTTAGTGATGATTAAAAAGCTGATAAGCCTAAGTAGGTCAAATGACTTAGCCAAAGTGTCGCGAACGGATAATAAATGTGACAATAATAATGGATAATAATGTGACAGATTTTAAGGAAGAGTATCGTTCCAGCGCATATGTGACTACAGCTCAATTAGTAATTATTGTATCATGATGTTCAAATTTGTGACAGAAAAAACTATTTAATTTGTCGTTTATTCACTTTTGTAACTGTAATTGTCTGCCGATTTTTGGAGGTTTGTCGCATGTATATAGTTTTGTAAATGTTTGCATGGTACTTAATAAACTAGGGATTTTTTGCTGTTTAAAATGATATAGAGATTGATATATAAGATCGATAATATCGCGCTGTCCTTGGGGCTGATATCGCACCTCAGCGCGATAAGGTGCAAGGAAATCTTTCGGCGGAGAGTTTCAGACGGCTAGCGTAATTATCTTACCGTATGCCGCTGCGCTGACGCCAGCCCTGGCGGCTGGCTGCGTCAGCAGTCGGCTGCCCGGGTACCACTTGCTACACACCCCCCTCACATGAAACATAAAAACGGGCAAAAGAGTGGCCGAAAAGGAGCACTTGCCTACAACCAAGCACGAACACGCCAGGTGCAAAAATGAAAGTGGAATGGCACGCCTACGCAATCGATATCGACGAAATCGGTAGGTCATGACGCCCACGGTAGACCAAAACTGCGCTATTTTTCACAAATTCTTTGTTTTATTAGTGCTTAAATGGTGTAATTTTTGAATGGTAAGGTTAAGAGTCCCTTCACTCAGTTCTTTGACAATGAATTGATTCGAAGTCTTCCTTGCAATGTTTATACACTTATTTCCAACCTTCCCAACTCCAAAGTCCTGGGGAAGTTCCCTCAAATCAAAGTACTCGGGAGGTACTGCATTTAAGCGAGCTTCCTGAGGATTTCCTCGGGAGGTTCCCAACTTTATTGCTGTTGACGTCAAAGTTCTCGGGAGGTTCCCAATTCTTCGCCTTCTTTCAGCTCAGTACTAATTCAAGCCCTCGGGAAGTTTCGCTAATTAGCTTGTCCTCGGGAAGTTCCCGTGATTTGTCTGAGAGGGCATGCTTATTTTTCTGGATCCCCAGCACTTCATTTCGGGCCACCAGCAAAGGAAAAAGGTCGCCTTTATAATCGACCTGTTTGTGCAAGAACTTTTAGGCCCGATAAGAGCTGGAGAGCTCATACCAGGTAGTTATGTAAAAATCTGCTGGGGCTGTTTGTAGACTGTGCCATAAACTTGGAGAACAGCCTTTAGAAAAAAAATTCCTTGAAAAAAGCGAAAAATCGGCCTTTTTGCAGCTCAAAAATGCCTCATTTTTTGAGTAAATGAGTTTGAAAAAAATTTCAAAACTTTCAAAACTTGCAGCGATCGAAGATTTGATTTTCGGTAGAAAAAAGGAAGGTGCTTTTTTCTACCGAAAATCAAATCTTCGATCGCTGCAATTGTTGTTAGGGTAATGTCTTGCACATCTTTTGAACCCGTCACCCATGCGTGACGATTCTCACAAAATTGACGCCACCTGCGAAAACAGGTGCGGTCAAAGGCAGGTTTGAGAGCTTGTACTTTTTGTGCGCCTATTGTAAAATCCGAGCACAGCTGCGGTTCTGAAGTTGACAGCCTGCTTACTTACATTGACCAACCCTTAAATGGTTTTCTCTAGATGGTTTTCTTTCTTCATTATGAAACAATGGCAGCAAAAAGAAAATTTTTGAAATTTACGTTTGACGCAGACCTCCTTTTGTGGTGTGTAGATCACGGGCAACACCTTCATATACAATACGCTCGCATTTTTTGAAAAAAAAACGACGCCCGATTTATGTGACAACACAGTAGCGTGTCTATATCCCGCTTCAGAAGGATGAATTCTTAATCCGAGGACACCATTCGACAAGCTCGGAGGGGTGCATCTTCTAATTTATGGAAGTGCTCGTTTGAACACAGTAGGAAGTCAGATTCCACAAATCGTTTCAGATTTTTGTTTGAATGTTGCCCCAGTGGCATACTGATTAACCTACCATAAGCATCTGAGAATTCGCGGAATCTGGTTACCTACAGTGTCTAAGTCGGCACTTCTATATATCAGAACATGAAGGTGCCTTTGGATTAAGGGGAAGTGAGATATGGCCACACTGCGGTGGCGTCACATGAATTGGACGACTGTGCGTCATTTTTTTTCTTCAAAAAGTACGAGCGGTATGTATATTTCAAAGAAAATGAGCAAAACACCACCTTTGCTATCGGTAATTAAGAATCGAAACTGAGCTAAATAGAAAGTTTGTTGTTTGTCAGTTACGAACTGTGTTGCAAGACAGTTGCAAAATATTTTGCACAATTTGGATTGGCATTGTCATTGGATGTCATTACATAGCTCAAAGGTCACGCTTCAATCCTAGAAGCGTTGCAAGGC